CTAATATGGGCCAAGTTCAATCTTTTGAGACTCAGTCAATGAAAGGTCATTGAATTGAAACATTAAGCCTGCTTCTCTCCACAAATGCTATTTAATCCTCCCAGGTTTTCCAGCACTTTTTTCTGCTCCCCCTTCAGATTTCCAGCATCTGCAATTTTTTCTGTAAATTTTTGACAACTGGAATAGTTTGAGTTCGCATCTCCACATTCACATGATATTAATACTCAATACAGGACATGTAGGGATTAATCACCACTGGAAATTGCAACACTTATCCCACAGTTCTACATTTTCATGCTGCAACACTAGTTTACCTGCCAATGGTCACCAAAAGAGTAAACTGACAACAAAAAAAAAAAAAAACCCCACAAACCAGCATCAATGTGACACTTAGACAGATAATCCGACTGTATTGGTTGACTTCCAGTGGGGATGCGCAGGAGCTAAGGTCAGGTGTTTGAATGAGGTCAGGAATTAGAATTGGGTTAATAGCTGGCTCATGGCATAAGATTAATTTAGACATTATTTTAAAGTTCTGCAGCATGATGAATTTCTATTAGAACAAGGGCAGATAGAAGTGTTAGAGGAAAACGCTGGAGTTTTCCAAAATATATAATTCGGTTAGGCAGCTTTGGAAATGTATTTCAACAAAAATTTCATGAGGATGTGATGGCCTAGTGGCATTATTGCTAGACTATTAATCCAGAGACCCAGGTAATATCCTGGGGGACCTGAATTCCATGACAGCTGGTAGAATTTGAATTCAATAAAAATCTGGAATTAAGAGTCAAATGATGACCATGAATCCATTGTTGATTGCTGGAAAAACCCATCTGGTTTACAAAAAGAAACTGTCATCCTTACCTGGCCTACATGTGTCCCTAGAGCCACAGCAACTTGATTGATGCTTAAACTGCTGTCTGGGGAATTAGGGATGGGGAATAAATGCTAGCTGGACAGCGAAGCCCCCTTCATCCCATAAATGAATTATTTAAAAAAATTCAATAAAGGTTAAACATGGCCTTTTTTTAAAGCTTTGAAGAGGACCATCTTTTAAAGAAAACATTAAAATAGAAAATATTATGAAGCGATGCCAGTTTCTCTACGTTTGTTCTGGAAACAGGACGATATTAGTGGTGTTGAAACAGCTCGACATTGGACAGGTTTCAAAATAGATGTAACTAGTAAAGCAGGTGAGTAGACACTTCCATAATGAGGTTACGAATTGGATCAGAGTAATGTGACAATTAGTTTTTAGGTATGATTTATCTTTCATTTTTTATATATAAAGTTGCTATGTAGATGAAGAAAGAATTTTCAGAAAGTGGGAGGGAGCAAGAACAGCATTTTGTTATATACAGTACCTACCATATTTTGTCTTTGTAAAAACTGAAAGAACTGCGGATGCTGTAAAGTCCCAGTTCTGAGGAAGGGTCACCGGACCCGAAATGTTAACTTTGATTTTTTCCTCACAGGTGTTGCCAGACCTGAGCTTTTCCAGCAACTTCATATTTTGTCTTTGGTTCAATTTAATGATCTGGTAATTTATAAAGTTTGATCAGAAGGAAGATGTGTCAACATGAGATTATTATTTCAGTGCTGATGTAAATGCAGATCTCACTGCTTCCTGATTTTTGAAATTGTCCACAACAGTAAACCAAAATACAGCTTCCTCAGATAAATGAAACAAGATAGTGCACTTCCAGCTCTTCACCATCAGACTCTTTCCCCTCTCCTCATGTCAGGGTGAGATGAGACAATTTCTACAGCTAACAAGAGTCTGAAGCAGATGACAAATGGTAGTAAAAGGACAGCATACAGAACAGTTCAATAAAAAGCTAGCCAGGTGAGGAGAGGGAATGTGGAGCAGCATCTCCTCAAGAAACTTAGTATGTAAACAGACTGCCAGATACATAGAAGCTGAAAAAATATGCAATAAAGAAATCTAACTGCAATGAAATAAGTAAACAAATTTATATACTGGAGAAAAATTATGCAAAACCAGGAGATAGTAAAACCATTAAGTGAGAGACAAAAAGACAGACTGGGGTACAGTCAAATTTACAGAAATAAAGCCAAGTCAAAATTATGAAAAAAGTTGGCTTTTGGCAATAGTAGAGAATCAACTTGCATTAGTGTAGCAATTTTGATGCAGAAAATGCCCCAAAGCATTTCATAGAATAATAAAGAAGTGAATGCTAAGTGGAAAAATGTACTAGATTCTGTCAAACAGATCACATGTTCCATGATGATACATTCTTGCCATAAAAACATATCTTGGGAGATTCATAAGTTTACTAAAATTATGAACGGTTTTGTAATGTGACCTAGGCTTACTAAATATTGTACTTAAGATTGTCAAACTCATTCCAAACTAGTGCTCTGCATACTAAGTTGCAACTCTATTTATCTCCAGCAGTCCAGGATCCCACTAGGAATCCAGGCAGCAACAGATCTAAATGAGTGAAATAGTCTATATGTAAAACAAACAAGAGAATAAGTCTGTACCCTTCCATCTACCTCCATCACTGGCACAGAGAGCATAGGAACAAGGAAAATGTGGATCTTATAGATTATTTCAAAATTCACCTGTGGGATTTAGCTCTCCGTGCCAAGACAAGCATTTGTTGCCCATCTCTAAACATTCTATGAAAGTAGGGGCGACTTGCCTTCACGAACAGCTGCAACGTGTGTGAAGGGACGCACACTGTGTCATTAGTAAGCTCCAGGACTTTGTGACTGGGTCTAACAAAGAACAAATTTATATCTTCAAGTCAGGGTGGTACATGCCTTTGAAAAACTTAAAAAGGTAGTTGTGTTCCCTTCAGCTTGCTGCCCTTCTAAGTGGTAGAGATCATTGTTTTAAGATATGTCATCAAAGAAACCTTAGGGTCTGATTGCAGTGCATCTTGTAACACATGATGAAATACACTGCATTCAAGATGAGGTGGTTAAGAGAGATTGAATGATTAAGAGGTTAAAACTGAAAGAACTGCAGATGCTGTAAGTCAGAAACAAAAACAGAAATTGCTGGAAAGCTCAGCAGATCTGGCACCTCAACCAGTTCTGAGAAAGGATCATTTGACCCGAAACATTAACTCTGATTTCTCTCCACAGATGCTGCCAGACCTGCCGAGTTTTTCTAGCAATTTCTGTGATTGATTAAGGCGGTTAGTGGGCCCAATCAAGTAGGTTGCTGTGTTCTGGATGGTGTAGAGTTTCAAATTCACACAGTCAAGTAGATAGAGTAGCCCATCACGCTTTTAATTTGCAGATGCTGGTAAGACTCTGAGGAATAGAGGTCAAGAGTGAGCCCCTAGGCACAGAATACCCTGTATCTGACCTGTTCTGTAACCTATACAATTTTATACATCCAGTGGACAATTCAACTACTAAACAACTAATGGAAGGTTGGTACACACTTTCTTGCTGGAGGTGGTCATTGTATGACACAGATACTACTGGCCATTTGGCAGCCCAAGACAACGAGTTGGCCAGATCTGCCTTCATTAAGATACAGACGAAATATTTCAGTATCCGAGGAGTCGTAAATAATGAACAATGCACAGCACAGGGAACAAATCCTATTCTGACCACGTGATGCAAAATCATTGATGAAGCAGCTGAAGATAACTGGCCATAGGACACTGCCAGCAAGAATTCCTGAATCAACATCCTGAAACTGAGATAATTGGCCTCAAACAACCACAAACAAACATTTTTCCTTTATGCCCAATATGATTACCTGGTGATAAGCTTTCCCCTCATTATCATTACTACAAATTCAGTGAGGCTTCTTGATGCCACATGATCAAACATTGCTTAATGTCACCTCATCCGAAATTCAGCTTTTTTTCCTCCCCCATACTTAGGCCAAGTCTAGAATGAAGTCTGAAACAGAGTGATCCTGACAGAACATGAAATGGGTATCATTGTCAATCAACAATAAAATAGTGAATAATATGTTGGGACAAATTAGTCAAACTGTATTTATCCATTTTGCAGACAGGACACACTAGGGAAATTTTGCACTAGAAGCTCAACTATTAAAGGGAGCACTGACTTTTACAGCATAAGCTTTTAGTACTTTAGCCAGGCAGTCTTTGCTGCATTATTGATATAAAGTACCAGAAAGCAAATTAAAAGGGAAAGGACTATGAGATTCAAGATGACAGACTGGTCATTTTGGATATTTTTAACGTTAAACTTAACTGAGAAAAATTCTGCATGAATCGCAATCTGTAAGAAAACATTGAGATTTTCAGAATTTAACTCCTAGCAGTAATGGGCCAAAAAAAGTGAGGTTCAACATTAAACTGCACACTAACCACATCCTGGGCTGGGTCCAGAAGTTTGTGCTGGACAGGATGACGTTCGCTCCAGTGGGTTGGGCCACAGAGTGTGAGGAAGGGAAATTGCTACATTGTAAAAACAACTTTCAAGATTAGCTCCTAGGCCTATCCAGAGCATGCATAGATGGTATAGGTTTAAAAACATTGAATGTTTTGCTCCATATAGTTTCAACATACATATGAGGTTGACTATATGCATGGTTTCCTTGTCAGCAATAGCTTTCCAACAGTGGTTTAAAAGTACAGAACCAGAAGTACATACATAAAGTCAGTCATTCAAGCCTCCCTACTTATGTCAACCCCTTGGAGAGCAATTCAAAAATCCCAAGCTCATTCTCTCCCTTGTAAATCAATACTTTTTGCTTCAAAGATTTAGCAAATTTTTCCTTAAAAGATTGCTGCCTTAACTGCTCACTCTGGTTTAACCCAACTAAAATGCATTCTTCTAAATGTTTTTCATTTTACGTGGTCAGTTACAATGAGTTACAACAAGTATTAGGTTTAATTTTATTTAAGAAACCAAGATGAAGAGCAAAGACTCAATACAGGAGAACATCAAATTTGAAACAACCAATAAAGATTTAACGTTAGATTTCAACGGTCTTCAGATTGTGTGCAAGCAATAAAACAGACTTGTTGAGGGTTGGAAAAGAATGAGTTAAAACAGGACATAATTTTGACACACTAAAGATATTGAGGATAGGAAAGACTGCATGGGATGAGCTTGCATCTTTATTAAAAATTTTATCAACTTGTATAATGTTTCAAAAATTTGAGAAATAGGCCTTCCCAATAAATCACAATATTTACATTTTCTTTTCTCCATTCAGCAAATGCACCGATTTGCTCAATCATTTTCACGCACCTAGTTTAGGAAGCTTTTCTCCTTGGCTAAGCCGACTAGTTTCCAGGTCTTTCAGCAGTTTGTTCTTCTTCTGTTCGGGTGCCTGTGAGGTTCCCGTTACTTGCCCAAGATGGTCATTTCCTAAACGTATTTTTTTTGCATCCTTGGTCTCCGAATCCTTTGAATCAGTTGAACCAGTTCTTATATTAGAGACCTAGGAACATGATCTCAGAATAAATAATCCAAGTCACATGCTGTAAGTATTTAGCATTTCTACTTTAAAAAAAACACATTTGAAATATGCATTCTTGACCACCATTACACCATAATTTATATGATGTGCCAGCTTCAAATTTTCTTCTGCCAAATAGTTGATAATGCATCATAATTGTGTTCCAACTAGAAGACAGCTTGTCATTAGATGCAGTCGGATATCCAAGTAATTTAACTTCCAATATTTTCACTGTAATTTACTTAAGCAGACTTCATTTGAAGGAAGCATATGATTGCATTTTTCAAAACTGGACATTATAAATCAAACACACAACGCACTTTGGCTGTTGGGGTGCAAGTTAATTCAAAGTAGTTGATGAACATATTATCCCTTACAAAGTACGAAATCTGAAAAATTCACCCATGGTTTGTGCTTTCAGTTAAACACAAGATAAACTGCCTCATTTATAAGAAAGGTACCAGTTGCAGAAATTAATCTCTCAACTATATAGTGATTAGAAACTGTTGGTTCAGTTAAATATCCATCATATTTACATTCTAAAGCAAGTTGATTCAATAGCATCAATTAAAAACAAGTGACCACTATTATGTCAGGTGAATAAAATGGTTTCCACCAGCTCAGGAAGATGAAGTGGAATAAATAAACTCGCTTCTAGCCAGATAAAAAGGCTTTAGAGAATCTCAATAAATAGCAGGTAATGCGCATGTAAATAGTGCAGTTGTTAGCTCTATATCAAAAATATTTCCAATGAAGCCCAACATGAACTTTGGCATATAGTCTATACTAACACTCCTCAGGGTACCGTCAGATCAAACCACATTCAGCTTTTCCAATGGCCTTTCCTCCATCACAAGGTCAGAAGTGGAAATGTTCACCGTAGTGATTTTCACTGCGGATTGCAATATTCTACACCATTCACACCACCTCAGATACTGGCGCAGATCGTGTCCATATGCTTCTGGATAACATTCAGATTTGGGCTGCTCTGTGGAAAGTGACATTCTTACCACACAAGTACAAGGCAATACTATTTCCTGCAAGGGGGAATCTAATTAACTTGCCTGGACATTTAGTATAGCATTGTTGAATTTCCACACTGTCAATATCTTAGGGGTTACCATCGAAAAGAAACTACTTGACCAGCCATGTAAACGTGATGCAAACAGATTAGAACCTGGGAATTCCGCGGCAAATTACTTACCTCCTGACTCCCAAAGCCTGTCCACCACCTACATGGCAGTACGAGATGGAATACACTCTACATGCCTGGATAGGTGCAGGTTTGACAACAGAGCTCAGCACTACCCAGAACAAATCAGCCCACTCAGTCAGCAGCGTATCCGCCAACTTAAATATTCAACACTCAAACAGTTGGAGCAATACATACTTTATACGAGATGCACTGCATCAAAACAAGGTTTCAACAACACAGGTTCCAAACCTATAATTTCTAGCACTTTTGAAGGACAAAGGCAACACAGGCATGTGTAGCTACCCTGTTGCCACAACCACTATGCTCTCATCCTGCCATATTATCTGATCTCATTAGGCTTGTTACAAGGACTCTACAACACAAAACAAGTTTGAGTCTTGCATCTGATGAACACGAGGTACTCTTTAGTTGAGCGTCTGGAGAGAACTACAATTGTTCATCTATTACAAACACTGCTGTCAAAGATGAGTCTGTTACTGCTAAGAGAGTTGTTAGGTAAATACACCATTGGATGCATCGGGACTGAAATCTGTGACTACAGTACCTTTATTACCAATCGCTGTAGACAAAGTGATAGATGGGACTAGGTCAGATTGGGGTGGCTGGTCAGGGTGTATGAATCTGTTTCTGTGTTGTATGGCTATGAGCACGCCACTATCTACATGATCCCTGCTAAGTAACAAACCCTTTGATTTGAAACAATAGTGGTGTTCCTTCACTGCCAGACAAAAACCTTGGAATTTCCTTCTTAACAGTACTTTGGTTATATTTATGCCACATGGACTTCAGCTGTTCACTACCTCTGCATGGACAATTTAGGAATGCCAATAAACAATGACCTCATTAGCAATAGAGATAACAAGGTGTAGAGCTGGATGAACACAGCAGGCCAAGCAGCATCAGAGGAGCAGGAAGGCTGACGTTTCAGGCCAAGCAGCATCAGAGGAGCAGGAAGGCTGACGTTTCGGGCCTAGACCCTTCTTCATTTCTGAAGAAGGGTCTAGGTCTGAAACGTCAGCCTTCCTGCTCGGCCTGCTGTGTTCATCCAGCTCTACACCTTGTTATCTCAGATTCTCCAGCATCTGCAGTTCCTACTATCTCTGAACCTCATTAGCAATGCCCACATCCCATGAAGAATAAGGCCTATTACAGGGCAGCACCATAGCAAGAACGTTGCATTATCTGTAGCGACATCCTTCAGACAAGCCATCAAACCAAAGGCCATGTTGCTTGCTTAGCACAATGGCAACAAGCTTATTACACTATTCACACAGAACACAGATGTTCCCTATTGTCCTGTCCCATCCCATGTTACTTCTGTCAATTTTTACTGGAAATCACTATTCCAACAAGCCACCTCAGACACAGCAATGTACCAGAACAAATGGGATGCTGGCCTTCACAGCAAGAGGAGGGATGTCATGTTGCAGTTCTACAGCGTCTTGGTGAGGCCACAACTTGAGTATTGTGTGCAGCTTTAGTCTCCTAGTCTGATATTTATGGAGTGTGGTGAAGGTTCACCAGACTGATTCCCAGAATGGCAGGACTAACATGAGGAAAGACTGAATCAACGGGGCTTGTATCTGCTGGAATTTAGAAGAATTGGGGGAATCTCATAGAAACATAAAATCCTGATGGGTCTGAACAGGCTAGATGGAGGAAGTATGCTCCCGATGTTCGGGAAGTCCAGAACTAGGGGTCACAGTCTAGGAATAAAGGGCAAGCCATTCAAGAATGAGAGGAAGAATTTCTTCACCCAGAATTGTAAACCTGTGGAAGTCACTCCCACAGAATGCTATTGAGGCCAGTTCATTAGATATATTCAAGCAAGCACTGAACGTGGCCCTTGTGGTAAAGGGATCAAGGGGTATGGAGAAAAAGTGGAAGTAGGATACTGAAATTTCATGATCAGCCACAATCATATTGAATGGCGATGCAGGCTTGAAGGGCCAAATGGCCTACTCCTGCAATATTTTCCTAAGTTTCCACGAATTGGCACTCCTCCATGTTGAGCATCTCTTAGAGGAAGCATGGAGGATGGCAAGGGCACAAAACATACTCTGGGTCAGGGACTTCAAAGTCCACCACCAAGAGTGGCTTGGCATCAGTAGTACTGATTGAGCTGGTCAGGTCCAAAAGGGCATTGCTGCTAGACTGGGTCTGCGGCAGGTGATGAGGCAATTAAGAGGGAAAAACAGTTAACCTCATCTTTACCAATCTGCCAGGTGCAGATGCGTCGTCCATGAGAGTATCGGTAAGAGTGACCACTGCACACAGTCTTTGTGGAGATGAAGTCCGGCCTTCACATTGACAATAACGTCCATCATGTTGTGTGGCAACATCACCATGCTAAACGGGACAGACTTCGAACAGATCTAGCAACTCAAGACCAGACATCCATGAGGCGCTATGGGCCATCAACAGCAACAGAATTGTACTCCAGCACAACATCTAACCTCGTGGCCCAGTAAATCTCCAGTATCATCAAGGCAGACGGTCAACCTGAGTCAATGGAGAGTGCAGGAGGGCATGTCAGGAACAGCACCAGGCATACTTGTAAATGAAATGTCAGCCTGGCGAAGCCAAGCAGGACTATTTGCATCCCAAACAACATAAGCAGAAAGGGATTGACAGAGCTATGCAATTCCAAACTAACATATCAGATTTAAGCTCTGTAGTCCTATCACATCCAGTCATGAATGGTGGTGGACAAACAACTCATTAGAGGAGGAGGCCCCACAAATATCCCCATTCTCAACAATGGAAGAGCACAGCACATCAGTGCAAAAGACAAGATTGCAGCTTTCACAGTAATCTTCAGCCAGAAGTACTGAGTGGATGACTCATCTTGGCCTTCTGTAGTAGTCCCCAGTATTAGAGATACCAGTCTTCAGCCAATTCAATTCACTCCATGTGATATCAAGATACAGTTGCAGACACTGGACACTGCAAAGGCTATGGGCCCTAACAACATTACTGCTCCAGATCTTACCACTCCCCTAGCTAAGCTGTGCCAATACAGTTACAACACGAGCATCTACCCAACACAATGTGGAAAATTGCCCAGGTATACCCTATACACAAAAAGCGGGACAAATCCAACTTGGCCATTTACACCCATCAGTCTACTCTTTATCATTAGTAAAGCAATGGAAATTGTCATCATCAACAGTGCTATCAAGCAACACCCTGCTCAGCAATAACTTGTTGGGTGATGTCCAGTTTGGCCTCTACAAGGGCCACTCACCTCTGGGCCTCAGTACAACTTTGGTTCAAACATGAACAAAAGAGCTGAATTCAGAGGTGAGGTGAGAGTGACAGCCCTTGACATCAAGGCTGCTTTAGACCAAGTGAGGAATCAAGGAGCCCTAGCAAAACTGGTATCAATGGGATGGTCAGTCATACCTGACACATATGAAGATGGCCATGGTTGTTGAAGGTCAGTCATCTCAGCTCCAGGACTTTACACCAGGAATTCCTCAGCATAGTGTCCCAAGTCAAACCATCTTCAGCTGCTTCAATGACCTTCCCTCCATCATAAGGTCAGAAGTGGGGATGATCACTGACTCTTGCACAATGTATAGCACCAACTGCAACTCCTCAGGTACTGAAGCAGTCCATGTTCAAATGCAACAAGATCTGGACAATATCCAGGCTTGGCCTGACAGGTAGCAAGTAACATTTGCTCCACACAAATGCCAGGCTGTGACCATCACCAAGAGGGGACACAATCTAACCACCACCCCTTGACACTCAATGCTGTTAC